ATGTGTCTGCATACAATTTTTATATAAAACTTATTCATTTATGTTTTTATATTAATTAAATTAAAAATTAAATATTAATAATAATATAGTAATACTAAAACATACACGGACATATGACTACCAACCTCTTTTTCTCTTCTCAATCTCTCCAGAGTCCAATGTCAGCTGCTGATCCGGTCCCTTCATCTCGGTTTCTCTCGGATGGCCACTGTCGTTGGGCATGTAGGAGGAGGAGATGATGGTGGTTGGATTTTTAATATTCTGTACTTTTAACAATATTATCTATATTTAATTTATAGTTTAATTAACATAAATATACAAATTAAATTTTATATATATATATATATATATAATTGTTAACTAGTGTGGGAGTTACATGCATACCATGTTGATTAATAATTTAAAATATGATATCCATGTGCCCATATTCTTGTCTACTTAAATATTTGTATAATTATATTAGTTATACCATTATTTATAAGAGCTTATTTGAAAGAATGTTTGAAATACAGATACTATTTCAACAAAGAAATGGTGTAGGGGTTAATTCCAACAATTTCGACTTTTAGAATAAATATTTCTTAAAAATTTAATGTCTGTATTTATTGACGTTAAATATCTATTTAAACAGATTGCTAATAATAATAATTTATTATAAAAAAAAAAAATTAAAAGTGTATGTTTCATTTAAATACAAAAATTATTGTACAAATTAAATGTAAACAGTTTCAAATTGTATTAAAATCTTCTCGAATACTTATCAACTATATTCATAATTATGAATTATATAGTTACATTGACCTAGTCCTTTGTAACTAAATATAAGGTGCTTGTGGAGAGTAAATAAATTAACAGATCTCCCATTAGTTGATTTTATAATCATGTAAAAAAAAAAAAGGTGTGAAATTTAAAATTTAGAAATATTGACGAACTCCATTTTTTTTTTTTTTTATAATTATGGACCTATACTTTTAATGAAGCTTCGTTATCATAGGAAAAAGGAACAATCATTGGTGGATATATAGTAGTAGAGGCGTTGATGAGTTCAACGTTGATTCCATATTATTATATTAAGAAGTAGGATAAGGAAAATGGGTGGATGCTTCTCCTCATACGCGTCATATTAGGGTTTTGGAATCACTAATATTATTATATCAAAGAAAAGATGAGGAATTAAAAGAATTGACTTGAGTTAAAAAGAGAAACAAAAACGTATGAATACACAATAATTATTTTGTATTATATTTACACCCAACAAACCCAAAATTTTTACTCTGAAATTTCTCTATTGGCTCCTCATAATGTAATATCATATACGTTGGTTTGTCAAATTGGCGTGTTTGGCCAATGAAAGTGTTGGCACTAATAAATATTTATAATAACAAAGTTGTGGGGAAACATGGATTGGGAGTCAAAACTTTCAACACGGTACCCCCTACATATATAATATATATGTAATTTACATATATATTTGATATGCTCTATGCGAGTTTGGATGGAAGAAACAAGATGAAAGGTAACCTTTGTTTCCTCTTTATCTTGCTTTGCAGCTGCCAATATTTCTGCTCCTGCGTCGGAGAAGATATTCATACCCATAAGTTAGTTCTTCAGTGGCCCATCTCCTTCTGCAACACCGGAGAATTCCAGTGCAGGAACAATGTTCCGGATGATGATTTCACCATTCATGGTCTTCGTCATTTCAATCATAACGGTAACATCTTGATAAATTGTGGTGGAGCGCCTTTAGGAAGAGATGGGGTAGAAAATCGATATAACCCTTGGTCATTTTTTTATTTTTTATTTGCATTTGAAATTCGTCTGCAGGATTTGATGATTTCAATGTTTAGTTTGCACAAGAATGTCGACATTATAAATAAATTATAAAAAAGTTTTTGAATTTTGGGTCTAATTCCAACTATATGTATGAATTGAAAAAATTATTTAAGTACTTTGAGGAAATTTTTTAAATTTTTTGTTCAATCTAATGATTTATGTGTGTTTTAACAATCATTTTTAACATCTTTACATCTGCAATTACTTTTTTGAACAGGGTTTTAATAATGAAATAAATTATTAGAAACCATCTTGGAGTTTACCTTTTTTTTTTTTTTTTTTTTTTTTTTTTTCAAGTAGTTGGTAATATACATTTATATATTTTAGCTGTCAGACACGACTAGAAGAAAGCTTAAGAGTGCATGGCCCAACTTGAAGAATGGTGGGAGGGACATTGACTTTTGGGGATATCAATGGAGTAAGCATGGCTCCTGCTCTGGTCTTGCCGAGCCAACTCTGTACTTCGAACGAGCACTCCATCTCAAGTCTACCTGTTGCAGCACTCTTTTCAGCCACTTGAAAATGATAGGTAATTTGTTAATTAATTTAATTCGTTAATGTTAGTTTTTCCATCAAAAAATTCTTAATTAAATTATTAGTTTTTGATGCATTATATTAACTTTTATTAAATGAGACATTTAGATTTATTACAATATAATATTATATCGAATTAATTAATTAATGTTCAATCAAGGCTTCACTCCCTCTGCAAGTATCCCACACACAGCAGGCCAAATTATTGACATCATTTCCGAGAAAGTTGGTCAAGTGCCAGGAATTAAGTGCAATACTAATACGAACAATGCCCATCAGCTTCTCGAAATCACATTCTGCTTTGACGCCCGCCGTCATCCTATGAATTGTAGCAGCGATGAAACTTACTGTCCGGTAAAAAACGTATTTTTTCCTTCATCAAAAACTCTTTGGTGGACCAGGTACAATTTCTATTTTCTCCTACTTTAAACACTGTTCATTTACATGTATCATTGATAGTAGAAACATGCAATCATCTTCCTTTTCCAAACATATATAAAATAGATATTTATTTTGTGTATTCAAATTTCTTGATCCCAAATCTACAACAACCTAAAAGGGAAAGAGTAAATGGGTTACTAAAATTTTCAACCTTTCATGAACACTTCCTAATTTTTTTTTTCTATTTAGATTAAGATAAACGAGTTACTTATATATTTGTCTTCACTATTTATTTTGTATAGAAATGTTCAAGTTCTAGTGAAATTTATTTCTATCAATTTATAAAGATTGATATGCACATAAAAGAAAAATCAAGAATGCTTATGATAAATTATGTGTGAGTACGTGTGATGTGACCAATAATATAATATCATGTTATATAACAATTTAAAATAAAAAAGATAGGAAAGCTAGTGTTAACTTTTTTTTGTAGAGATTTAACCATACTACTATACCTAAAAATCCTCTTTATTAAATCAATCACTTGAGTTTTCACTATTTTTTTTTTCAGAATATTACAATGAACTAGTTGGTCAAGGTGTTTAAGAATATTTCTCACCAATTCATTATTAGTGTAGATTTTTTCAAGAGGTTTTAAATCACTAATGAAATTGCTGAATCTAGTAAACATATTCATGATGCATTCATTTTCATGCATTTTGAAAAGTTCATAATTATACACTAGCATGCTTATTTTTTATTCTTCAACTTAGTTCCTTCATTTGTAACTTCCAATTTATCCCAAATTTCTTTAGTTGAGTCAAAAGCATATAATCTATTGTATTCATCTACATAAAGTCTACAATATAAAAGATTCATTGCACTAGCTTTTAATTAGACTAGCCTCTTGTCATTTTCATCCAACTTGTCTTCTAATTTTACTGTAACTTGGGCTCCCAGGAGTCTAGTTGAGAATATGTGATCCATTTATAAGTATTTTCTTAACATTATAATCGGGGGCTTGTATAAATACTCTTGCCAATTCTTCCAATAATAGTAATGATTTCCATTAAACAACGAAAACTTACTAAAAGATTTACTTTTAGTATCAATTGTTAGCCCGAATTCTACGATAACCCAAGAGGACAAGTGAATTGCATTATTAAATTTTTTAAACTTTTAAGAACACTTCCCAATTTTTTTATTTGGATTAGGATAAGGCAAACTATTTTTATATTTGTCTTCACTATTCAATTTGTATAAAAATACTTAACTGATAGTGAAGTTCGTTTATGTCAATTGATAAAGATGATATATATATATATATATATATAGGAGAGAATAACCGAGACTACTATGAATAATTATACGTGTGATGGGAGTACTAATGTAATATCGTGTTATTGTATATAACAATTTAAAATAAAAAGACCAGGGAAGAGAATGCACACTCTTTTAGAGAGATTCGACCATATCATTGTGCCTATATCTTTTTTCTCAAGATAACCCACTTGAGTTTCTATCACTTTCTTTAAAGTATTATAACTAGTTAGCTAATCATGGTGGCTAACTCATCAATTGTTCATATTCCACCGAATACTATTGCTTGTCCATCAAGGTGTAAAACACACCTATTATTCATGGTCTACCAAATACTATAGTTTGTATATCAAACAATATAAATTTAAAAATAAATTTCACATGAATCAAAATTTTTGTTTAAAGATACCCTAAATTTTCCTAAATACTTAATCTTAATTAATCAGCTAACAAGCCACCAACCTCAAAATTTATCCAAAATCCTTTCTCAATTTCTTTATATGTGTTATTGACTTCCATTCATTGCCTTGTCAAAATTAAAAATTGTTTTTAACATTTTATTGGTATTATATTTTATAAACAGGTCCAACTACTGCGATTATAAACCTACATATTGGGGAACCTTGTGATGCAGTTGTACACTTATTGGCAATTGATGGGTTGCTATAAGTTATGGCGGAGTAGTCTAATTTATATACCGAATTACTATCATTTTTAGTTGTCTTTTTAGTACTAAAATCATCAGCATTGATATTTTGTTGTGGGATTGTTCTTCTACACTAGATTTTACATACATAATGTGTTGGCTTGTTAAGCTTATGTTGAAAGTGTTCCTCCATGAGGTCACAATGACTTTTTACTTATATGACTAAACTTTCAATAGTTCTTGAAATGTTCTTTGATTTTAAAATTGTTAAAAATTAAAAAAGTTGATTAAGTGAATAAAATAATTAAAAACAATTTTTATGAATTAATTGAGTATAACTCATATTTAAACGAAGTTGAGTTGAATAAATTGGGTTTCACTATTTTAATAAATTTGGCCTTATTCTAACATAAACGTACTTTTAATTAAATATTTTCTTTAAATTATGGATTCACAAAATGCGGATACATGTTAACAAAGTTTTTTTAAGTAAATCCTAGCCACTCATTACCTCAATTATAGAGGTCTTCTATCAACATCTAATAAAATTTCTTACCTCTTTGACAGAAAGGATTGTTGGAAAGCTTGTAGAGTAAGAGCAATAACATGCTTTATTTATTTTTTAAAATCTTTCTCCCAAGCTACTAAGAAAAGCATGCCTCCTCCTTATCAAAGGATTATGCAAAGGACAAGGTTTGAGATTTAAACACAATTTATAAAGTTTTCTAGTTAAACGATTAACTTGAGTTGGATAGTATTAATTCGTATAGATTATTATACAACATAACATTTGCAACGAAGTGTTTGATCTCATTAAATATTGAATAACAGATACCATGATGTATACGTAGGTTGTAATATCCAACTCCTAAAGTAAATAAAAAAAAGTAAATAAATCAATAAAATTAGAAGTAGGATTTAAATGAAAAGAATTTTTAAAATTTTGGAAATTTTATTTAATTTCAAGGGTCTGGATGAAAACAAGTAAGAAGAAAATGGGGGTAAAAGTATAAATAAATGGAAGCCGAAGGGGGCAAAAGAAAACAAAGAATGGACAGTCCTGATCAAACCGTCTGAGAAGATCAAATAGTTGAGATTTTATGGAAAAGCAAATAGCCTAGATCGAGCTTGTGAGATCCAACGGCTGGAGGAGACGAGTATAAAAAGAAAAAAGATTAGAGTTTTCTTCATTTGGGTGAGTAGCCAAAAGAGAGAGGAGGAGAGAAAAGTGAGCCGATCGGGTGAGAGAGAAAAGAGGAGATTTGTTGAGCGGGGGAGTCGAGCGGAAGAGAGAAAGAGGGGAAGGAAAGAGGGAGGCTGGAGCAGAAGAAGGGAGAGGAGGAAAAAAAGTAGCCGAGCGGGAGAGTAAAGTGGGAGCCGAGAATGGCCGCCCCAAGGGAAAAAAAGGAAAGAGGAGAGAGGCGGAAGTGAGAGAGTGGTGGAAGCCGAAGCCGAAAGGAAGAAGAAGGAAGGGAATCGGGCTGAGACATCATATGACGACAGAGACCGAAGCAAAAAGGTAAAACCCGTCCATTTTTCATATTTCTTCCCTTATTTTCTTTCAATCCTTCTTATTTATTTTCATTAACCAGTTTTTAGGTGTGAAAATCTCCACCTAAGTCTCAAACGAGCAAGGAAGCCGCGGGGGGGCTGAGAGAAAATCAACCAGAGTTGAATCGAGGCCAAATCGCACAATGCCAGGAAGGTAAACTCTTTTTTCTGTTCTTTTGGTTCGCTATTGAGAAATGGGGGAGTGGTGGTCGGCTGGCCGCGCGAGCTCAGTCGGATCATCCACATGCGCAGGAACTAAGGAGCCTCCCTTGGGTGTGGGAAATTGACCCACCAGTGGAAGCTGAGGGGCCTTCCTTGGGAATGAAAACTCGATTCACCCACTCGGGAAGTCGAAAAGTCTTCTTCGAGTGCGAAAATCTGATTCACCACCCCGAAAATCGAAGAGTCTTCTTCGGGTACGAGACCTAATATTTTCGGGCATTTCGTTGGGTTGTCATTGAAACCCATAATTACGATTGAAATTAGCTTCTATTTATTGTTTAAGTGACAATAATTAATTTGTGTCATGTGTGTACAGAACATTATGACGTTTAGGTGGATTCGGAAAGATTGTTGCGTAAAGAAGTTGTAAGTATTTCTGATTCTGAACCTAGATTAGGATTTTAGAATTTGCACGTATTTTATTAATTTTATGTGTATTTTAAAATTTAAATGGATACTGAGCCAATTTTTTATGAGGTACAGAACCTGAACCTATGACAAATGAACTTAAGCTATTGGAAATTATGAGGAGATGGAACCAGAAAACAAACTCAAGGGCTCAGGAATACTTAAACTATGATAATAAATAAATTTAAACTTAAAAGAAATTACTAATTAAGCAGAAGGTTGAAAAAAAATAATGTAAAAAAATAAATAAAAATAGAAAAGAATAATTGTGGTTGTGAAACGATCAATTTAAATAAAAATTAAGAGGAAATTAGAATAAGAGAAAAGTAAATAAGAATTTGGAAATAAGATGATGTGGATGAATAGAGTATAGACCTTAAATACCTTTTCGTTTAGTCTGAATCAAGGAGATGAGTGTGTATGTGTAGCTGGAGTTCAGCGGACATAGTGAACCTGCACATAGATAGAGTTTGAAACCTAATCCAGATGTGGATAGGTGTTTGTGAGTGTGGGTCACCTAGCAAATATATTGTGAAATTTCGTATGTGTGTGTTATCCATGTGATGTGGGGATTCATTTCACATCTTTTCGATGACAATATAAACGACATCGCGCGATTAAACTTTAGAAATGACATTTCGAGTGTATATGTGATCTTTTGTATGTATGTGGTTATATTTTGATAATATAATTGATATTCGAGCGTACATGTATTCTTTCGAGAGTATGTGGATATAATTTGATGATTGTAAATGATATTCAAGTAAAATTTTGAAATCTAATTAGAAACATGTGAAAATGATGAAAATAATAAATGAATTTTGTTTTGAAACATTATTATTGCATTTGTCTCATATTATATATTTTGCATAAAATATTATCTGAGTTCAAAGAACAGAAATATTTATTAAGTTGGTGAAACTCATTAAATTTCAACTTAATAGTTTTTAGATGAGAAAGAAGAGTCAGAACCGCTGACGGATAAATAGAACCTGCGAAAGAGTTCATGTTCATGTACATTTGTTCATATTCTAAAAATTTTCATTTTATTTTATTAAACTCTAAATTTTAACTTCATGTTCTGTATATATAGGTACTGTAAATATCACATAAATGTTAAGTTGTATGATAAATTTTTAAACTATACATATGTATATTTTGTGAGCTCATTGCATGAAAATGATATGAGTAAAAATTACGCCTCATTTTGAGATTGGGATGTTACATAAGTAACTATTAGAAGAATAAATTCATTAGATTTAGTCAAACAAATAGATTTTTTTTGTAATTTCACTTAGCGTCAAGCAAGGATGTATGCAGAATAATAATATAGGATACTGAAATACCATGATGACATTCGTGAAGTAAATTGCACTATGACACTTAAAAGTTACAATTGCTTCAACATGTCTTGACTAAACTAATAATTTGGTATAACTCAAATTTGCGAAGTAACGAGTAGTGGTTAAGGATCCATCACTTTCAATATGGGAGAGATAATATTTTATGATTATTGATTATGAATAGTTTTAGAAACCAACTGCCATAGTAAATAAAGAGGAAGGAGTTTCTCTTAACACAATTACTTAAATGTCACTAGGTCATAGTGATTAATGAAAAAAGTTTAGCATTATCTATATTCTAAATATTTTCGAGATATATTAAATTGAAAAGTACGTGTGTGTGTTTGTGTGTGTATATATATATATATATATATATATAAGATTTGTTAAGGGGGGGCGGAGATGTTTTTTCCTCTTAAGAAATTATTTTAATATCTTCTAAAAGTTGTTATATATTGCAACATATTAATTATAATATGTGTTTTTATTATAATTAATAAATAGAGTTTATTTTAGTTATGCTTTCAATCACTATGATTCATCACTATATCGAGTAGTAAAAAATAATTAATTAATTATATATATTTTGATTATCTTATAATTTATACAATTGAATTAACTTTATTTAATAATTATAAAACATTTTACAAGAAATTGAATAAATTATTTGAGTGGAAAGTAACTTGTAACAACCAACATTATTTATTTACTTACTAATTTGTTTATTTAATAGCTGAAACACCACGTTGATTCCAAAAAAACATTATATATATATATATATATTGGTTAATGTGAACGTGAAGAGTCATGATCAGATTAATTAATTTAAAAGACGGACCGTTGTTTTATTATATTTTTAAATTTGAAGTTCTGAATGCTTTTTTTATTTGAAGAGATGAAAAGTTGAATGCTTTTAGCAGAATCCATTTGCAAAGATAAAAGTTGAAAGCTTTAAAATCTTTTATTTATTTATTTATTTTTTCTTTATCATCTGCTCAATTTTAAGGAGAAAGAAGTGATGGTAAAGAAGTATGCAAAGATACACTTGACAGTAATGCCTTAAACTTCCTCCTTCCTCCTTCACGAAATTCTTCAATCAACTTTGTGGGAGATTGCTTCTGTTGAATATATTGGTAAAAGAATCTTTATTTTAACATACCGAGACAATGCTGTGTAAACAGTTTTTAGGTTTTCCTCCTTTGTGTTTGACTTTTTTATTCATATTATTATTAATTGTTGTATTAAAATTTTAGTTCTGCATGGTAACATTAAATTGATTATTTCTAAAATTTAGCTACTTTAACAATAATAAAAATGTTGTGAATAAATGATTTAGTTCTTTAATTAGTTAGTGGGAGGAGGGGTTGGACTTCGTCAAATGGAATCTTACTGGGCAGATCCGTCAATACCAAAAGGAGATTATAAGACCCAGATTTCCTATTGTATTGAATGATGTGTTTAGAGACTCAAAATTCTTATCTATGTGTTTTGTGTGTGTGTTTATGCGTATG